GCTTGCTCAGTGCGTGGAGACTCCCATCCATGGTGGACACAAACAGGAGGCTCTCCGGCCTAAGGCTCTGGACCTGTGGTGGGAAATGAAGCCATTTCCCTGAGCAACCTGAGACCACCCTTGCTTCCGTCCCAGAGAGGGACAGAGAAACCAAGGAGGATAGTTAGGGAAACTGCTGGTCTCACCCCTTATCTCCTTGACCCTGGAGATGGGGAGTGGGGGTTCCAGCTCACAGTGTCTGCAAGTCCCACCTGCTCCCACTCCTCGATTCCTTCTGATCTGCAAAGACTGAGGATGCTACAAAATCACTTCCTTGGCTCTTACAGACTCCTGTGAGATTGGTGTTGACTATGCTCCCTCCTTGAACAGATCAAGGAAATGGAGGGCCAGGAAGGTTAGATAACTGCCCTCAAGCCGAGCCCAGAAGAGAATTGGCTGAACTAGGACTTGCATCCCTATAGCTCTGGTGATGCCAATGCCTGATCTGTTTCTTTTGAGATGACCCCCTTCTGCACCTCCAAACTGGCCCAGCTGCTTTGGGTGCCCAGCTCCAATGCCCCCCCCCCCCCCATGAGCCAAGGGTGGGGGCCAGCTGAGGGAGGGAGGTGGGTGAGCTGGAGCTGCCTTTACGTCAGTCCCGGCTTGGCGAACTAACCTGCTCTTGCCTCTCCCTGAGCAAACAAGGTGAGGCTGAGCTCACAGCAGGAACCCTAACATCCGGGGGTTGGGGCACACCTTGCCACGTCCACATCCTGCTCTGAGACCCTGGGTTTGGGAGGTCCTGCTCTTTGATAGTCAGGCATGAGCCTCTGGACTTTCTCTTTCCTGCAATACCGTTTTTTGTCCCTTGCAACAGGGAGCGGGGAAAGAGTGGTTAAGAGAAGAGGCTGTCAACTGGTTGTCACGGGGTGGCTTTGATTCTCAGGGTGTTTACATTTTAAGTTTTAGTTAGTTAGGTTAAACAAACAAACATAAAACCCAAACCAATAGTTGTCCCTTTGCAAAATCCGGATTTCCAGAATTTCTCACCCCGCCCCTCTTTTCTTTCGTGGAAATAGCAGTGAGGCTGACCTGGTTACCCCAGGCTCACATTTGTACACGGTACCCATGGGTGGTCCCAGTGCCGGAAGGCCGGCAGGGGTGCCCCCTCTACCATGGCTCTTGGGCTATTCTGGGGGTTCCAGG